TTGAACTTAGGCCTCTCTCCTTCTGACTGTTCTCATTCCTTGCCCCTTATTTGAACTTCAGTACTGACCAAGATCTGCCACTTTGTGAATACAGTATTAAGTAACATGAATTAAGTAACACATCAAAATAGCCTTCATAGAGATTGCATCTGAAGAAAATGAGGCCACCATTGAGTTTATAAACTGATCTGGAAGTGTCCTTATTGGAGAAAGGTGACAGACAGACAGACAGACAAATAGATAGATTGATTGACAGATTGACAGATTGACAGATCGATCTATAGAAATAAACATAGTTAATATCCAGTATGTATAGCTGCCTGTAGTCTGTAGGCCATTTCTACTCCCATGCTCCCTAGATCTTCATGAAATGACTAGAATAGCCTTTTAAAAGTCATTCAAGGCCTAAAACAGGCTCTGGGAGAAAAATAACCTTCAAATGGCCTCTAACATCTATGTAGGGAACTCAAGAGGCATGGTTTAACATTTTCTTGTTGTGAGTGTATATTGCAGCCTGGTGGACCACATGTGTTCTCCACACCACACTTTCCCCACCTTTGGTCTGTGAACAACTATCTCTTTGAGGGTTTTGTTTTCTCTGTGAGCATTGGTTGGAGACATTGGTTGGAGAGCTGGCTAATTGTTTTGCAATGACTATAGTAAACTAATTTTCAAATCTCAATTGAAAAAGCACTTTCATTTTCAGGTCTACTTCTTCACTACTCTTAAATATTTTTTACTCTATACACACACACAATTTCACATCTCGATATGCTCCTGCACAGTGTCTGCTAATTATGGGCCCTGAGATAGCTTAACTGGGGCCCATGACTCTCTTACGTCCTTCAGTGGCAACCTCCATAGTGGTCCAAAAACAGGTGCCCAGAGGAGGGGCCAGTTTGAAAGCCTGTAGGGGAGGCAAGATGTAGGGTTCAGCAATATTTGCTGAACAAGCAGCAGCTGCTGCATGTGCTACTGGCTTTTTTGTGTCTCTTTCACCTCCAGTGCTACCTCTGTGTTGGTGTGAGGCCCACTTGGCCCTGTTGAGGTTTCTTAATTGAAGCCAGATAGCCCTTGCCATGCTGTCTTGCCCTCTGGGTGCATGAAGTACAACAAGGACCCTATATGGGGGTACATGTAGACCCAGTCCCCCCTTCCAACTGTAGTCTTCTTTCACCTCCTCCCATGTATCACCCCCTGCTGCTTCCTCCTCCTACAAGTTCAACAAGTCATACCCTGCTCCTGGCACACATCCCTCGCCTTCCCTTTCTCCTCCCTTATAGCCCTCATATGTAAGGAAGGCTTCCTCATCTTCACCTCTGCACAGCTATTCCTTCTCAGTGGTTTCCTGACTCACTTGGGTCAGGCGTTTCCATCCCTCAGTTGTCTCGGATCCAGCAGCCACTAGTTCCAAGAGTCTTGCCTGTGTGTCTGGGATGGGGGCCAACAATCTTTTGGGGTGCTAGCAGGGACTCCTTCACAGCCCAATAGAAATTTACACATTGGACACTGAATTGTTTTCTTTCTTCCTCTCATTTTAAGTAGCTGTATAGAATACACAAATTCATGCTGTATAGCTGAATTAAAAGAACTTACTGAGTTTTGAAAGAACTTACTGCTAAGTAAGATGACTATGTAAAAACTGGAATGGAAGAGGCAAAGAGAAGCACTTCTTAATGAAAACTGATGTCAAAAATGTAATGGACAAACATCAGAACAATATTTTACATCTCAAATCCAATAAATATTGTCCAAAACCGTTCTAGTGCAAAACATAATGGCCCAGAACGGCAACTTTCGAGTAGGATAACCCAACCAAATTCAGAACACATATGGAACTAGATGAGACTGATGCAGCAAATTAAAAATCATCCCCAAGAACAACATTCTGGTACCAATTCTGGCGAGAAAATCAGTCTTCTGAAAAACAGTCCAGAATGGTGACCTTCAAGTAGGATAACTGAATAAAATCCACAAATCCCTATCCAACTAGAGATGGGACAGATGCAGCCATCCACAGAACATTTCTAACAACAATATTCTGGCACACATTCTGGGCAGAACTTTGATTTAACAAAAAAACATTCCAAAAGGGTGACTTATGTGCACAACGAACCTGTCCCAACTGATGAGAGGGAACATATGCAGGAAGCCATGAAACAGCCCTAGGGACCACATTTTAGTACTTGCTCTAGTCAGAAGATTTGTATTGTACCAAATATTCACGTTTCACATCAGATGAATTGGGGGATGATGTAACAAGCTACAAAACATCCTCAGTAAGCCTATTTCAATACCCACTGCTTGCAGAAAACCAACATTATACAGTCCAGAATGGCAAAGCAGCCCAGATCACCAAAATTCATCCATCCAGTTACAGTAGAGAAAACAGATGCAACCAACTAAAATATGTTCCAAGGAATCACATAGGGGCCATTTCATATTTTCCAAAAAGTAAATGAACAGCGGCTGCGAAGCTGGTGACAGCAACCAGTTCACCAGTCGTTTGTGACTGGATGGGAATAATACATCAAAACACTGACTTTTCACAGGAACACAGATTGTGCTTTCTGCCAGCCTTCCCAGGCCCATCACCTTGACTTAGCATAGACAAGATAAGACTGAGAAGACATGCACTGTTGTTGTTCTATGCCTTCTAGTTGATTCTGATTACAGTTGATCTCCAATGTTTTTCAAGACGTGAGATGTTCAAGGAATAGCTAACCATTGTCATCCCCCAAGTTCAATGGCCAAGCAGGGATTAGAATTTGATTCTCCTGAACTCTAGTCTAGACACTCTACCCCTAAACACAGTGGCTCTTTAGCTATCTTCAAATATTTGAATGGCTGATATGTGTCAGGTGGACCCTGCTTAGCCTACGCTGCAAGTTTTTAAAATAGGTTGGTTGTCAAGGACACTTGAGTAGTTCTTGAATCAGCAAAAGGTTGGTCTAGATCAGTGGTTCTTAACCTTTTTGAAAGAAATGCCCCTTGAGCCATTGAGGCAGTTATCATGGCCCCCCTCCCCATGGCAGTGGTGCTACTGCGGGGAGGGAGACAATGATAACTTCTTCAATGGCGGCGCCGCTGGCAGCACCACATCCGCTGGCAGCACCAGCTGCTCTGGATCTAGCGCTGCGGCATCCCTGCACTGCCACTGCAGGGAGGAGGGCGATGATAACTTCCTCAATGGCGGTGGCAGTGCTGGTGGCACTACATCCTCTGCCAGCACCAGCTGTTCTGCATCTGGCAGCATGACAGCGCCACACCGTCACCATGGGGAGGGGGGTGATGATAACTTCCTTAATGGCAGTGGCAATGCCACTGCTGCCGCAGCACCACATCTGCTGTCAGCAGCAGCTGCTCTGGATCTGGTGGCACGGGGAGGGGGGCGATAACTTCCTCAATGACGGCAGCTCCATTGCCCCCTATCAACCCCCCTTCTGTTCCTTCGCCCTCATGTTGCCCCTTTTCGTTCCATTGCCCAGGTTAAGAACCACTGGTCTGTATTACCACTACTATGTCTTCGAACTGGACAGATTTTAGGCCTGGAATGTGTACCTCTGGCAGTTTGTAACTTCTTGGATTGCTCCCATTCAGTTATGTTTGACTGATGAATATGGTTTCCTTGGCCTCCTAAGAAATTGTTATGTTGGGATGCTTTACTGAAGACAGACTTGCAACCCAGGAAAAGAACTGGCATATGTTTTCTGTGGATGATTTTTGGCTGCTTACCATCTCTTGTGTCTCCTACTCAAAAGTTACTGCTCCAAGCTATTTTATACAATCAAGATTTTGGAGGCAGAGTAGGTACTGGAATATGGTTCCTATAGATGGTTTGGGTCCTGCTACATCAGTCGCCTCTGTCATGCAGCTGATGAATTTGGTGCTGATTTTCTGTGTAAGAAACAGTCTGGAAGAAGAGTTTTTTTTAATTACTATTTTTAGAATATGGGCCCATTTACATTAGCTTTTTGATGTGAAATGCTTTGCAGTACATCAGAGAATTGTTGCTTCTTCCCTGGAGCAAGTCTTCTGTAGTTTCCTCCCTGTCTTTTTAAAGTTTGCTTACACTTTTATTCAGCTAATTAAAGGTAAAGATTCCCCTTGACATTTAGTCCAGTCATGTTCGACTCTAGGGGGTGGTGCTCATCCCCGTTGCCAAGCCATAGAGCCAGTGTTTGTCTGAAGACAGTTTCCATGGTCACATGGCCATCACGACTAGACACGGAATGCCATTTTACCTTCCCACCGAGGTGGTACCTATTTATCTACTTGCATTTACATGCTTTCAAACTGCTAGGTTGGCAGGAGCTGGGACAAGCGACGGGCACTCACTCTGTCGCGTGGATTCGAACTTATGACTGTTGGTCTTTGGACCTTGCAGCACAGTAGCTTCTGCGGTTTAACCCACAGCGCCACCACATATTCAGCTAATTAGGGAACACTAAACTCTCTGTGACTGTTGCCTTACTATTGTGATTTTTAAAATATAAGATTTTATTTCATCGCTTAACTAGCTGAAGCCTGTTCTTCCAAAAATGGACAATTGAAAACATACTAAAATATACATACTGAAATTCATGAGCATTGTTCACATATAATATCTGTAGGCAGGAAGACCGGGGGGGGGCATTAAAAATCAATCAGTGGAATTACAGCATTGGATTCTGCCCAGTAAGTGCAACGTTGGATATTTAACCAATTGATAGTTAGTAGTATCGCAGTCCTGCTGTTGATAAGTTGCAATGAAACATGGCAATGTTTTCCGCACCCATCCCCAGGAAAGTACAGAGGTAAAAGAGAGCTGTCTGTCTGTCTGTTTGTTTGTTTGTTTTACTGTAGTTACAGGTTATCCTTGGATGGTCACAGTTTTAGTTGTGGTCCTTGTAATTTTGCCATGTTGTTAGTAAACCAAATAATACTTCCCTCATTTTCTGTGCCTGTGACACAGGTTAAGAGACAGTGGGGAGACAAGATAATAGTAGACAGCATATTACCTCTCTGCCAGTCCTTCTGTGTCTTCAAAAACTATTGCCCTTGAATTGCCTGGAGAATTGTTTTCACATCTTCCACAAAAAAAAATCACCACAAGAGGATTTGCATGCTATATACGTTCTGCAGTGACTGGGCTATACAGGGTGAGCTCAGGACAGAAACATAAACACTGAGATTTTGGTGCCTCTATGGACCTCAGAGCTATAATACTATAGAGAGACAGCTGCTCTTTCAGACTATGAGCCCTTACGTTTTTGCAAAAGCCAAACCCATTTGTCATTTCCGTTCTTCTTGTGGCTGCTCATCAAGGTATTTAGGATTGAAAACTTTCACTGAGGCAGCAGCCAGCTGCACAGCTCATTCATTTCAGGGAAGCCACAACCCAGTGTTTATGATGTCAGAACTGATCACTGTACAAGCGATTGTTTGTAGTGTCACAAACACTGGCCCGCAGCTCAGCTGAGTGAGTCAGACAAGAGGGAAGGAATGCTTCAAAAGTTCTTTTTACAAGACAAATATCTTGTTAATCATCACTTCTGACCTGACTGGAGTTGTTTAAGGAAGTTTGACAAGCTTTTTTTTTTAACCAGCAAGTACTGTGTGAGTTTTCTGAAGAACAGTACTGTAGAGCTGGAGTTCAATTGTGTCTCTTTAAAATATGACTGAAAGGAAAGCAGATAGTGCAGCCTTCATTAGCACAGTTTCAGGACCTTAAAAGATAGCTCAGTGCAGCCTTTTGATCTAATTCCAGTTCACTGTTAACATTCAAGCTTTGGCTGAATGTGGTACAGCCAACAATATGGATATAATTAAGAGTGAGTGCTGGCATGTAAATGTACATACCTGTAGCAGCTTTTTATCACTGATAGAATGGAATGCATTTCAGTTACAAAACTCCACATAGTCCTGGCACCCCTTCTTGAAAACTTTCCCTACCATTTAAGTTAAAAAGATATGCTTGTTTTTTAAATCCTCAAGTCTTCTACATGTCAGTGCAGCTTCCTTCCAAAGACACGTGGTTAGAATCATAGCCTGTTAAGGTTTGAAACTTCAAGGGAATTGAGCAATCTGTTTAAAAACAAAAAGTAGGGTTGGATAGGATTTAGTTCCACCATGGTTTATTCAATTTAAAACTGTTTCCTCAGTCCGAAAGTTTCAGCCAGATGTCTCATAACAGTTTTATAAAGCACCTGAACCTGGTAGTAAAACCATTTGGCAATTACTGCCAAATTATTGTGCCCCCCACTATAATGAATGATTTAAACCATAATGAATGCTGCCTGACTTTCCAGAGAACTAGTTTAGGTCATTCCTTTCTCCTTTGGTGTTCTGAAATATCATGCAAGTCAAAATTATCATTACAGTGCAGTGCATAAATAACTTTTGCTCTACATTCCTAATCCTGTCAGTGGTGAATGCTCAGCGGATAGTACTGTACTAGATTTCAGGTTGTATATTTGAACCAGAGCAACCTTCTAGCCCACGTGGCTGCAAAGGTATGTTTCACATTGTATAAGTGATGCTTGCAGTAAAATGCAGAAGCCAAAAGGGACACTGAAAGATTTCCAGTAGCCTAGAATATGACTGGTCTGCACATACCTTCATCATTCTAAACCCATGGCTCCCAACGTTGAGTAACCCAAGTGTTGTTGGACTGCAACTCCCAGAAACATCATCCAGGATAGCTAGTGTTGAAGGCTTCTGGGCAGTCCAAGAATACATGAGTTACCCAAGGTTCGGCACCACTGCTCTAAAGGACTAGTGAAACTAGAGCAGAATAGAGATTTTTTTTTTTAATTTTGCAGAGGTGAGCTATTGTTGGCTAGGAATTCGGATTAACTTGGTGCAGAATAACAAGCTGAAAGTGGTTGTTTTTAATTTGCAAAACACACACAGCCCTCCTTGCAGAAGAGTACATGCAGACAAAACAGTAAATTGTGGCAGATTTTTCTTATGCAACAGAAGAATCTGCAGATTTTTCATCTTTTGTCTTCTTTTTGTCTTCACAGTAAAATTGATCAGTCTGCTGTCCCCAATTAGAAAACTGATTATTATTCTTTCCCTCCCCTCATGTGCCAACTGGTTTGTCTGCTTTTTAAAATTTTAAGTGCACAATTCCTACATTTCACTGGACGCAACATATTATTTTCTTTAATGACAGTTTTTTTCCTGAGTTTTAAAACTGTTTTGAGGGTGAGGAAGGTAGATTGTGATAATATAGGTACCAGCTGGTTAATATGTGCAGAACTGGCTTCTGCTGCAAGCTCACATAATTGGTTAAATTTTCTAAATATTGCTGCCATTAGTAGAATCATCCTGGCAGTTTTCAAAAATTAAAGTCCAGACATCCCACAGCTCCCAATGCATACCTCACAATGAAAGGGATCAGAAAGGAGGTTCAGGACGAAACTGAAAAAAATTATTTCCGGAAGAACCACTCCATCTATTGACATCATCAGCCTTACATGACCTACATTTTACTACTGGATTTCAGCCACTATTTAAAAGTTGTGGGAAGTTTATTAACAAGCTCAACATAATGTAACTTAACGCAACAGTGAACCTTGTGACACCTGTAAAATTAACAAATTTTATTCTGTATGCATGTTCATGGACACAGCATACTTCTTCCTATGCATCACAAAATCGGAGTTATACATTGTGCAGCTTTGCATCTTCTGTCAAAACATAAACTATATAGAAATATTCATGGTAGAAAATGAAGCAATCCATAAAGGAAGCATGGGAGGCAAGCAAGCAGCAATTCAAGATGGAGAGCACTGGTAATCCAATAAAACAACTGAAGCAAAGAACACTTCTTAATGGGTTCCAAGCCTTTTTTTCAGATTCAAAATTCCCTATTTCCCTCTAGACACTCTAACTGGCTGCTGATGTCCGTCAGAACATATTACTGGATGCAAAATTTCTGAGGTGAATTGACAAAGGGGTACTGAAAGATTACACAAAAGAACGAACAGGAAAGAAACATGAAACTTTTGTGTACCCCTGTTCTGTAGCCACAGTTCATTTGTGTTTAAGGAGTTCTATTTGGGTGATCAGCAAAAAAATTCAGAGTACATAAAATTGAGCCTCTTCTGTGTTTTTGGTGTTTTGTGTCAACATGAAAGGCACATATCTAATAATAACTTGTATGTTATTTCATCTTTATTTTTTGAATGTATATTTATTTATACATTATATAATATACAATGTATATTTATTATATACATTCTACTACAAGTATGAGGTAAGTGTGAAGTGAAACATTTTATATGAATAAAATTGCTATCTTGCCTGAGAATTGGCATAATCATGCCTGTTCAGTTTTCAAGTTTGCCTACCTGTATCTACTTAATGAATTTTTCAAATATTACAATACTTGTTTGTTACTTTACATGCCTAGTTTAGGTGTGTACAGTATGTGGTTGTGAATTCTAACCTGTATTGGCACACATTTACTACTTTTCTGTTTAGTTGTTGTAATGCCATCTTGCAAAAAAAAAAAGTACAGTGGTGCCTCGCACAACGATTGCTTCATACAACGATGAATTCACACAGCGATGGGTTTTTTTGAGGAATTTCCCCCATCGTTTAACGATGTTCTCTATGGGGGAATTTCACTTAACGATGTCCCTTTTTGCTCATTTAAAAGTGTCTTAAAATGTTTGAAACCTGTTTTAAATTCTTGGATTCCATAGTACACCTTGTGAAACATGTGCAAACTTAATTTGGTTTTTTTCTGAGTCTTCATTAATTTTTGGTTATTTTTTCCCCCATTGGAAATGCATTTTCCCCAATGCATTCCAATGAGAGAAAATTCAAAAAATCAC